CACTTAGAGACCATCTCAGTTATGAGATGGACTTCTGCAATATTGCAGTGCTTGTGTTCCAGTCACCCTTATTTTTTATGTCTATAGAAGTATATTGTTATAATTTTTCTATGAGCTTATTGTTGTTGATCTCTTACTGTGCCTAATTTATAAATTAAATTTTATCATAGGTATGTATAATAGGAAAAAACACAGTGGTATATAGAGTTTGGTAGCATCCACAGCCTCAGGCATCCATTGGGGGTCTTGGAATATATCCCCTGTGGATAATGGGGGAATAAAGTGCATTTGTTTTATGTTAATAGCTTATCAAGAAATGCACCCTGGTTGGCTGATGGTAAAGGCAGGATTCAGGCATCCCAGATCCTTGGTAAAGATACCATCTTATAAAAAATTCTGAGTTTATGCTAAACAATCTGCAAGGTAGGTTTTAGACTGTGAAGGGCCTTGAGTGTCTGGCTAATGAGTAAGCATATTGGTTCTTTTAAAACACATTACATTCACTACTTCTGCTTAACAATCTTTAATGGTTTTCCCTATAAATATTGTTAAGCAGAAGTAGTGAACTTATGTTTTAAGAAAAGATTCTGACAGCTCTTAACTGAATTGGAACTTAAAAGTCCTGCCATGTCCCATTCCCCGCTGTGTGTCTTGGAGTAAGCACCAACCTCTATCCTGCTTAGCTTCTTAAATCACTTTTCCTTTCACATCATTTCCCTTGGGCCTGTCTTGTTAGCTGCATAGGGAAGGGAGGGAACAGTCCCATTCTGCTCCAGAAGGCCAGAGTAAAAGAGTTAGATTTGATGGCTTCTAAGGATTATTCCAGGTCTGACACGCTAAGACTCAGTGAAAATAGTCTTCACAGCACTACACCATAGACTGAATTACAAAAAGCTAGAGCTGGAAGGGAATTTAAAGATGATACTTTCCCTGAGATTACAGGATTCTAATGGTAATTTCTCCCCCTATAGTATAAATCAATAATGGGTGGGGAGAAAGACTTTCCCCCCCAACTTTAGTTTATATGGTTTCTAGGACATTTTTAGATTTCAAATCCTAACAGTTTGAAAAAGCCAACGGGTAAACACGTGAACAAGTAGCTCTTCTAACTTCTTGTGTCTTTCTCTTGGTCCCTTGTGCAGCCTCTCTTTCTAAAGCTACGTGTTCTCAGGTGTCTGTCTGGGGCCAGCACTTTTCAGAAGTCACAAACCTTCTCCTCCCTGGGACACGCTCATTCATTTTCAGTTTTAATTATTGTCAATATGCTTTTGACTTCTGAATCACTACCAAATCTTTGATTTCCAGGCCTGAATATTCAACCTCATGCTAGTATCTGTTACTTGGATGCTCCCCAGATACCTTAAATTTAACACATCCAAAACAGGACTCATGTTAGTCACTTCCTCAGGAAGCAGAAAGGCTGGTGTTATAACAAGGACGGAAGCCCTATCATGTTGGGGAAGGAAGTTTGGCTTCTATTGGGTATAGAAAAGTCTGAGAAGTATTTTAAGTAATGCTTCCCACACTTCAGAAAGATCAATCTGGCAGCAAAAGAAAAAATTGGAAAGAGTGCAGACTAGGGATGAGAGGCTACTGTAATGTAAAAACAATAAAAAGACAACCCCATAAAAAATGGGTGAAAGATTCAGAATATATATTTCTCCACAGAAGATGTACAAATGGCCAATGAGCACTTGGAAAGATGTTCCACATCATTAGTCACTCGAGAAATGCAGTTGCCAGGGCCCAGTGGGGAAGGAAAAATGAGTGACTGGTAAGGAATATGTGTTTTCTTTTTGGCGACTTAAGTGTTCTGGAATTAAATAGTGGTGAACAGTGCTTAACTTTGTGAATTTATACACTTTAAAATATGAATTTTGTGGTATGTGAATAATAGCTCAGTAAAGTTTTTTCTTTTTAAAAAGGGCCTACTGTGGACTGAGTTGAATGCCTTGCATCCCTAATTTCAATTTCTTTATTCACTTAGATGACTTATAATTACCATATTTGAGATGATTACTTTTTATATTTTCTTGCTATCTTAAGGCATGGAATGGTATCCCTAATTTTCAGATATACTAAAGTTGATGTTATAATCAGAAGTTTACTAAAGTTAGTTGGTGAATGAGTACTGTCAGCTTTAAGTCTGAGATTCACTGTTCTCATTTGTAAAATGTAAGCTTTGAATGAACCTGACTCTAAGATTCTTTCAGCCCTTAAGTCTCTTGAATCAGGAATTCTACAAGTGCACAGCTATAACTGTTATGCAAATAAAGTAGGATAAGAAAAGCAAAGGGTCAGCAAATAGAATGGTGAAGGAGTGTTACAGCCACAACCAGTGAGCAAGATGGAGAAAACATGAAATTATAAACCAAATGCTCCTAGATTTAGTCTTGTTCTTAAATACCAGACTAGATGGTGCTATCTTGGACATCTTTTGCTTGACTTCACATCCTCTAGTCCTCACCTATCCCTTCAGACCCTGCTGTGATAACTAGTTCCACATAGACTCCAACTGCCTCATGGGGGTGGAATGACAACGCCCGCCTGCTTGCTGTACTGCTGTACTTCCTGCCTTCTGGCACAGGACTTCCCTGAGAATAAGAACTGTTTTTGAGATGGGGTTGAATGGGACACCTAGGGAAACAGCTCAGCACTCAAGCATATAGTCAAAAAATGTGGGAGAGTTAATGACCACAGGGCCACCTTCAACCATGAACAGAAGCCAAATAATAAATACTTTCCCAATTTTTCATCCCCCGGGTAGTTTTGAGATTATTTTTATGAGACTCCTTAGAATCTCCAGTGGAATGGCTAGTTGGGAGCTCAAGTGATAGACAACCAAGAAATCCTCCTAATTGGCTATTTCTGCTTCCATGATAGATCAATTCCCAAAGTAATACCTGCACACACACTTTGTCTCAGGCTCTGCTTTAGAGAAACCTAGGCTAAAACCTAGGCTAAGACAGAGCCTTTCTGATAGTCTGCCTCTGATTCCAAGTACAGGTAAAAGGCTGACTGGAGCAATACTAAGTGGGCAGAGTTTCATGTTCCATCTTGCCTCTGCTTTTTCCATCATTTGAACTTGGTACTTGAGATGAATAATTTTATGAGAGAACAGGTAACAGGATCACAGCAACTTAGAGTTGGAAGGAAAGTATACAGGATGGCAGAGTGCTAAGTTTATACCCATGGCAACAGGTTCAGAAACTTGGAATGGCTGACCTAAGACTACAGGGCTGAGAGCCGCCCAGGTTGCTTATGTCCCAGTGTAGTGAACACAAAGATGATTATTATTAATTGTAAGGGTTATTGCCGAGTTTAAAATGAGGAAACTGAGACCAGCATTAAGAAAATTAAATGCCAATTTATTCAACTCCCGGGCAAGGTTCCATGGTCCAGGGGAAAGGGGCCAGGGAAGTCGCACCAACTTCCTGGGGCGTGGAGTTTTTATGGCTAGGAGGAACGAGCAACAGCTGGGTGCTCTGATTGACTCCAGGGGAGTGGGATTGAGACAGGGCGTCCCACTATTGGTTGGCGGGTTGTTGAGCGGGTTTTCCGGTGGGAGAGCCGGCCAGGAGCCTTGCATCAGCTGGAGCCTTCCAGGGAAGCCATATGGTAGAGCTAGGTGCCAGACTGCAGAGCCTGGTGCCGGGTGCAGAGGTGGGTGTGTCCAAGCTCCCGACGAGGCAACCGGCCTTACATTAATCATTTATTGAATGCTTGCTCTGTGTGTCATGTAGGCATAGCTCTGGGAAACTCTTCTAAGTGATTCGCTTACTCACAGCTAACCTTGGAGGGCAGAACTTACCATACTCATTTTACATATGAGGACTTCACAGATCAAAGTTCACTTATTGGCCTAAGGTCAGTAAGGTAGTGATGGTGCTGAATTTGTGAAGAGGCTGAGCTCCTCACTGCTATGCTACATTGCTAACAAAGGAGGTTCCTGAACTGCATTCAGGCTACGATGCACATCTTTGTAAGTGGTAGAATAAGCAAACTGGGGGGGATAGGGTACTGAGAGTATATATTTATAATATATATATATATGTAAATAATTATATATTACATATATTTTACATTTTGTAAATGTATATATAAAATATATACATTTATAAAATATAAATATATATATATTTACAAAATACATTTACAAAATAAAATATACTTACAATATATATTAAAATATTTTATTTATATTTTACATATATATTATATATATGTAAAAATATATAATATATATAAATAAAAATATAAACATTTATACATAAAATATATATAAAGATTACATAAAATATATATAAAGTTGCTTTTTTTTTTGAGACAGAGTCTCATTCTGTCACCAAGGCTGGAGTGCAATGGCATGATCTTGGTTCACTGCAACCTCTGCCTCCCAGGTTCAAGTGATTGTCCTGCCTCAGCCTCTCAAGGGGCTGGGATCACAGGCACATGCCACCACACCTGGCTAATTTTTGTATTTTTAGTAGAGATGGGGTTTCACTATGTTGGCCAGGCTGGTCTCCAACTCCTGACCTTGTGCTCCACCTGCCTTGGCCTCCCAAAGGGCTGGGCTTTACAGGTGTGAAACACCATGCTTGGCCTCTTTGTGTAATTTATAGGGCAAGGAGGTAGAATTGAAAAGACAATCATTAAGACTGATGCAGAGATGGCAACTACACTTTCACAAGCACACACTATGAACTTTACCTTACTACATCTTGTCATGACTAGCAGTTATCGTTCTCATACTTCCCATGTATAGGGGAATGAATCCATTTGGCAAATTAATTTTTACTAAAGCTCTTCATTTTTTTGTTTTTGAGATGGGGTTGTGCTTTGTCATCCAGACTGGAGTCTAGTGTCAATATCCTAGCTCCCTGTAGCCTTGAACTACTGGGCTCAAAAGAAGCTCTTCATTTTTAATTTAAGCAAATATTGAATAAATTTAATTAAATGTAATAATAGCTATTATAAAAAATGAACTTATATACAAGTAATCTGATTTATGTTTTATTGCTTACATATGAATTGGACAGTGAATTTTTACATTTTAAAAAACTAACTTCATTACATTTAATACAGATATGAGCATTGAATAAGACAAATTAGTTCCATTTTCAGACATTTTGGGTAGAGACAAGTTAATTGCTGGTAAAGTGTAGTATTATTATTCTAAAAGATAATGAGTTCAGCAGTATTAAGGAAGTATGTGTGTGTGCGCGCATATGTATTCAGGTAAACTCCAATAACAACAAAACTGTATATAAGTGGTTACAGACAACACAAGTACGGGAAGAACATTTAAATGTTAACTGTTCAATGTCATGAAAGAAAAAGTGATATAAACAACTCTATACAGCAAAAAGAGAATGATTAACAATTTATTAAGAGTTTTATATATTTACAAAAATATAGCAATACAGTGAACTTCAACAAATCCTAAATGTTCAGTACCCGAACTGGCTACAACACCGTGTGCATACCCAGTTCCTGCAGAATCTCCTGCAGACATGGGAGTCAGCCAGTGAAAAGATCCATTTCTTGGGAATCCTTGTCAACAAGACCAGTTCAGAAATCCATATAGAAGCCTACTGTTATTTCAAAACAGTAACACAAACCCCAACAAAACCCAAATCAACAAAGACCAAGGTAAAGGTGTGATAAACATCAATTGTAACGGTTTTCCTTTACATGCAATACGTGCATTTTAAAATCACTAAGAAACATGAAATTTTGTAGAGCAAAGTTTGTTTCACATGAGTGCAAATGAATATATATTTTATTTTTTACACTATTAAATTATATATATTTTTTCCATACAAAAGCACACAGTGTTAATCTATAAAATGACATCCAACTGGATGATGATTGTTTTTGCATGTCCCCCTGCTTAGATTTTTTAAAATATATATTCAAAAATTAACATCCTTCTTTAAAAATATAGAAGGAAAAAAGGGGAAAAAAAAAAAAAAAAAAAAACAACTTGGCTTTATTGATTGGTGAAGCGTTTTACCTGATCAAGAGGCAAAGTTCCAGTGACAACTGCAACAGGGCCCTTCAGTCCTCCAGTGGCAACGACTCCGCCGTCATTCTGAAACAAGTCTTGTTGATCCACATTTAATAAGCAGCCCAGGATGTTTCAGTGTCATTTCGTAGGTCTCAATGACTAGACTGGTTTTCAAGATGTTCCACTTTTGTTTAGCATCCAAAATTTTCAAGTATGCTTGTCCTATTATCATTTCCCTGCTTTTTTCTGCTCCTACTAAAGGTGCCCTAATAACCATAAACACAAACATCCCATTCTTCACTGCAATTTTTTAAACAAAAACAAAAGTCAAAAATTAAACTGTTTTCTAGGCTACAGTTTTTGGTATGCAGGCTGTTTTATGTAAAAACAAAACAAAACAAAAAAAAAACCACAAAAAAAGGAATCTGAAAAGATAGAACTACAAACAGGTGACTTTATAAAAATGTCCTAAGAGAATTTTATGAGTTACAAAGAAAGCTGTTCATTTTACCACGTGATAAAATTCACTAAGATGTACCTAATGTTACAGGGCTGTCAGTGTATGTGTAGAGTGCACCTGTGATCTTGGTAGGTGAAATCAAAAGTAGCTTAAATTGACGAACTTTAGCATACTTGATTGTTAAAACACAGGCAGCTTTTCAAATATAACTAGCTAATTCTACACAGATGCATACAAGTCAGTTCAAATCTTACAAATTAAAGTTCCACCTGAAGAACTTTTTTACTATGAGGATTTAAAACAATGCACAATATACAAATGTAAATAAATGTGCTCTTAATGGAAATCAAAATGTACAGACTCTTCACAGGTGAACTAGTAACTGTTTTAAATGTCTTTTTTTCTGTACTAAATATATATCTCATTTAATTCATGGAGCCACAGCAAAATACTACAATTTCAAAGCATAGCCTGTAAACTAATACATCTTATGATGTAAAAATATTGCACGGTTTGGTACTCCAAGAGTAAGCTCTACAGCTCTCAAGCAGAATGATCAAACTCTTGGCAGGAAACACAGTATTACAAGAACCAGACAATTTAAAGTATGGCGTTTTTAGGGTCATGTTCAAGGAATGCTATACAACAGATGTCCTATTATTGTGAAAAAGATGAGGAATGCCTATCACATATTATTATAGTAAATGAATAGCGGGGTGCCTATCCCAGCTTATCTAAAGTATGGGGACAAAAAGCCACCAAACAGTTTTGCAGCCCCAGGACTAGGAATATATTTGAATGTATCTGCCTTTGCAGAAAACAACAAAATTTCTACATCTAAGCAGTTGTGTAGATGTTTAAGAAATAAACAATTTATACAGTCTCAATCCTCTGAAGGCTTACTTTTTTAAAAAAAATTACCTTTGTGAAAAGTTTAAAATATACTACTTAACAGTGGAATACAATGAAATCAAACTTTAAAAGGCAACAGGAACCTCAAAGCAAATTAACATGGCATAAATCTATCTTTGAAAGTACTTAAAATTATATATAGCTCCAAAACTTCTAATACAGTATGCCAAGCATTTGGATAAAGATAAGTGCCATCATTATTTTCATAAAGTATGTTAATACACATTAAGTAAACCCTGAAAGCTCAGCTTGGCCTTAATTTTTAGGCTTTACAAATCATATGTTGAGGTCTTCATGAGCCAATCAGTACACACACAGATCTGGAAACTTCATCTCATAAACTGGGACAGATTGGTACTGGGCATGCCCAGAAGTGATGGTCAACGTTCCTGATGGACTGGGAGGAGGACTGTAAAAGAACAAAGAAGCAACGTCAGCAGATGTACTTACAGGCTGTTCATTCACTGAGTATTCTATCTGCTATCTGCAAATATCAAAGTCAGACTCCTTATTTGCAGAGATCAATGCTGTTGTAGTTGCTGGCCAGCTACAAGGCTGTATGGGAAATAGACCACAGTAGTGTCAAACTGTTTTTAAGTCTAAGCACGCATTTTCCTTGGAAAATATGTATTTACAATGTTAAATGTGATTATACTCTATCTGTTCTTGTGAGCTGCTTTGTTTCATTAGTAAAAAATTATTTCATGTATATAGATATTATCTTTTTAGATGACATTATGGTATTTCATTACATAGATATATCACACTTGATTTAATCCAGTGGACAAAGGCAGGTTCATTTCCATTTTTGATTATGATAATGTTCACAAGTCTATTCTTATACATACATAATTTTATTCTGACTGGTGCCTTCTTGGTTTATAGTCTTACAAAAAGAAATTCTGCATCAACGTGTATTCAAAATTTTGACTTTGGTACATATATATTGTCAGAATACCAGCAATTTACACTTCAGCACTTCATTGTACCTTTTACATTGTAATAATTATTAGATACAGTAAATATTTTAAAAAAATCTTTGCCAATCTGAGAGGCAGAAGGGAATTCATTCTTATTTTAATTTTTATGTTACTATTAATGGTAAGTATTTCATCTTGAAATCATCCCTCCAACCCCCACCCTGGAAAATGTAAACTGCCTATTTAAGCCCACTGCCTCTAATTCTACTCAGGTATTTTTTTCTTATCAGTTTGGGAAACTAACCTTTTGTCATGTAAAACAAATGCTTTCCTCCAATTGATCATTTAACTCTCAACTTTTTTTGCTGCCAAATGCTTAAAAACCTTACCCAAACAAGCAATTATTTTTTTATAATTTTTAGTTTTTGAGTTGTGCTAAGAAAACTTTTCTCCCAAATCAAGATTACAAAAAATACTCCTGTATTAATTTTAGTGTTTTTATGTATTCTTCTAAATAATGAGTTGTCTAACTTGGTAAAGGAAGTGAAGTGGAAATCTTCCCTGGACCCTCCTTCACCGGTTAATAGTATTTAGCAGTTGTCCAAACCAGATTAACTGAATAGTAACCCTTTTCCTTGAAAATCTGAAATCTTACCTTTACCACAGTTACCTTCTATACTTGAATTTTCCTCTCTTCTACTTACCCATATACAGGTCCAATCTGATTTAAGTACCAAAGATCTGTCATATGTTTTCCTACTGAGCAAGGCAAATACTCCTTTTTTTTTCCCTACAGCATTTTCCTGATTGCTCTCGTATGTGGATTCTTTCACACTGCCCTTAGCATCATTTGTTCAAATACAAAAAAAGTTGATCTTACTAAAATGATAGCTCAATCTACAGAAAACTGATATCTATATTAACTTCTGATTCAAGAATAAGATTAGTTTCCATTTATATAAATATTCTTAAGCATATTTCAGAAATGTATAGTTTCTTCATGTAAGTCTTACATAGTTCTTTGAATTTATTACCTCATTGTTAAGAATGTTTTCATTTTAATTAATAAATGCACAGATACTAATTTCATATAATTATTTTTTAAACTGTGAAAGTAGACATCCTTGACTTGTCCTCAGTTTTAGGTAAAAAGCATCAGACTTTAACCATCATATATAACATCAGCAATAAATTTTTTAATTACTCTTTATCAGGTTAGGTTCCCGTCTATTTCTAATTTTCTGATAATTTTTATCTTAAATGAACATTGAGCTTTTTCAAACTCTTTTTTTTTCTCCTGCAACTACCGGTGTGATCATGCAACTTTGCTCTCTTATTACGTTAATGTGGTGAATTTTGCTGACTGATCAATTTTCTCATGTAAAACTGATCTTGCTTTCCTCATAGTGACCCCATTTATTTAGGCCATCCATATCATCGGTTTTATACATTTGCTAATATTTTGATAAAGATTTTTGTGACTATATTTATGAGGGGTATTTGTCTATAATTTTGTTTTTCTTAAAATATCGTTGTCTTATGTATTATTTTAGTACGGAGGCTATGCTGGCCTCATGAGTTAGAAAATGTTTCAACCTCTTTTGTTTCCTGAATATGTATGAAACCAATATTATTTCCTACCTAAACGTTTGATCAAAGTAAGCAGCAAATTTAAATGCATTTTCTTGCAGGATGCTTTTAAATTACAAATTTATTTCAACAGTTGTAGGGTTATTTGGGTGTTTTACTACTTCTTGTGTCAATTTTAGTAAGTTGTGACTTTCAATGATTTTTGCCCATTTCATCTAAATTTTTATATTTATTTTTATAAAATTGTTTATAATATTTATTTGTTATGTATAGAGATGATCCTTTTTTCATTTGTAATATTGGTAATCTGTGTTTTCTCTCTTTATCTTCCTTAACACTGTTACTAGAGGTTTACCAATTTTATTAACCATTTCAAAGAACAAACTTTTACGTGTGTTAATATTTTCTACTGTTTGACTATTTTCTGTTTCACTGACTTCTGATATGCTTAGTTTAGCTTCTGTTGCTCTTCTTTTTCTAATGTCTTACCAGAAGTTGTTAATTCACTGCTTTTAGAACTTACTTCTTGGCAAGCAAAAGCATCTAAACATATAAAATTCCTCCTGAGCACTATTTCAGCTTCATCTTACAAAATTTGGTATGTGTTTTCAGTTTAAAATATTTTCTAATTCCTTCTGTCATTTCTTCTTTGACCTATGAGTATCTTTTAATTTCCAAATATTTGAGATTTTTCTAGATGTGTTAATGAATTATAATTTCTTTTGTGGTGAGAGAACATACTCAACCTGGTGACTTAACATGTCAGTTTCCTGACATTTACTTACACTTGTTATATAGTTCCACATTAGTCTATTTTGTGAATATTGTATATGCACTTCAAAAGAATCCATATTCTGTAGTTGGCTAGTATTGTGTTTTTGAAAGGTCACTTAAATTGATTGAGATGGTTCAAATCTTATATTTTTTCTGCATTTTTGTTTTCTTATTATGTTTTAGTACTCTTATGAGAGGAACATTAAAATTTGCAATTATAATGCAAAGAAACAAGAAACTAGGGTGAGAATAAGCAGCTGCCACACACATTTCTCTCCAAACTATATGTATCTTGTCCTTTAAATTCTTTGACGTTTGTGTGTGGGGCTGAGGAGCGGGTGAGGGAGTATAGTGTTTTATGGGCTTTTTCTACTAATTCGAATAACTCGGTTATCTGTAAGCCTGCTTATTCTCACTGTATATTACTGCTTCTTTGCCTTTCTTGTGTTTTTAACCATACTCAGGTCAGAGTAAAAGGAAAGGACAGTGGGAATGAAGTGTACTATTGTGTGTTTTGTTTCTTTTATGGGGAATACAAACTCTTTCCTCTGTCTGATGGTTAGGGTGAGACAAATTAACAAGAGGAAATGTATCAGACAGGACCTGAAAATTGTGAAGGCACATTTCTATAAAGTCTGTTTACTTTCTCCATAAGCTACTACGTACTAAGTAGGTGACCCAGTATGAGTTACCTAACTTCTATGTATCTCTGTTTATAAACATGTGACATGAGAATCATCACTATCTGTTTGTTAGGATCTGCTGCAGATATTAAATAAAAAAATACATTTAGCACAGTGCTTGGAACAACATAGGTGTTTAATAAATGTTAATTAGTAGTAGTAACTGTTCAATGAACGCTAACTATTAGTAGTAGTTGTGGTACCAATGAAACAAAATTAGTTATAATACTTATTCTAAAATATTAAATTCATATAGTTATGTTAGTTTGACTAAAAGTAACATGGTGATCTCTAGCAACATTCCTTTTAAGAACATCAAGTTATGGGTTTGAATTTTGACTTTGCCACTCACTAGCTGTATGACCTTCAGCAAGTTATTTTACTTTTCTCTAAGCCTTGGTGTCTTCACCTGAAAAATGAAAAAAACAGCGTCTGCCTACCTTTCAGGACTATGGCGAGGATTAACAGAAGTAACAGATATAAACCATGATCGTAAGATCAAGTACACAGCAGATATTTAGTATCAAATGTTTGATGTTTAGACATCAAAGAAGTAAATGTCCATACCCAGCAATTTTAACTGAATCCTAAGTCTAGCACAACAGTCCCTGACCTTTTTGGCACCAGGGACGAGTTTTGTGGAAGACAGTTTTTCCACGGGTGAGGGTTGCAGGGATGATTTCAGGATGACACTTCTACCTTAGATCATCAGGCATTCGATTCCCATAAGGAGCATACAACCTAGACCCCTTGCCTGAGCAGTTCACAACAGGGTTCCTGCTCCTATGCGAATCTAATGCCTGCTGATCTGACAAGAGGTGGAGCTCAGTGATGTTTGTCTGCCCACAGCTCACCTCCTGCTGTCAGGCCTGGCTCCTAACACGCCATGGACCAGCACAGGTCTGCAGACTAAGGGTTGGGGACTTCTTGTCTAGCACATATTGAATATTTTTGTCTGATATTCTGTTCTTAAATTTTGTAAATGAGTGATTCTCAACTTAGAGAATGTAGCAGGAATGGGGGGGGAAGTGTCTAGAGTAAGATGTATAATGACAAAAATGTGCCTTGCTTATGAAAGCAGAAAAAAGACTGAAATAAAAAAGCAAGTAGACTAGAGCATTTATCTTTCTCTAATATTAATATAATACAGGGTTGAAGCAAAACAGAATTAATCAAGTTAAAAATATAAAAGATACAGCTGATATAGAAAAAATTTCCAGAAGCATAGCTATCTCTACTGGCCACCTGTCACAAAGGTGGGTTTCCAAACTGAAGTCAGTATAAGACTATGTGAAAATTCCTTCTTTAGATGGAACCTATAGTTGGCCTCTCCTTCCTTCAGGTGCTACATTTCTTATTAATGTATAGACAGAGGATAATCAAAGGGCATAATAATTCACAACAGAACTCAAATGAACATTATGTAAAAAAGCTAAAGGCAAGTTCAATAATTGAAATGAGCCATCTGTATAGTGAGACTTATTACTGCCCTGAAAAGAACAATGAAGCTGACATATTAAAATGCACTGTTTTGCAGGTCAAAATGATTCAATATGAGCATTTTCTTAATTAAACATAAGATTGGAATATGGGTCTTTCAGATTACCCAGATGTCCTTATAAGATAATCAGGAAGAAATGAATAATCTAAAAGCTAGAAAAGCTAGGAAACAACTAGTCAAGAAAGGGTATCAGACGCTGCCTAATAAACAGAATGACTAGTAAGCAAAGGATTACCTATATGATCTTATGTTAATCCTAAATAATAAGCATTACTTAAACATAATACCTTAAAATAATGAACTGCAAATTCATGGGGGTCTGACAGGTTCTGTTCGTGTGTGTATTGCTATTGTGATAACAAAACCCTTACCGTATGGTGAGTTCCAATATTTGAGCAAGTCTATCATGAAGTAAATTTGCCTGCAAAAAAGAAAAAAATATTAAGGATTATTTTCTAAGTAGCTACATGTAATAATACCAATGTAATTTAAGAAACAAAGGACAAAGTGTAACTGTGACTATTAAGCTAATCGATTAATTATTAAGTATACAATGTTTTAACGTTTTGGTTTAATCTGTCTTATCTATTAGAATTTAATATAAGGGTTATCTTTTTTCCCCTTTCCTAGTCTCAGTTAAAAACAAATCAACAAACATACAAAACAAAATACCTGCAGCAAGACCATGGAAAACCACTGCAAAAAAGGCTATCAAATCAATAACAATCACTAACTCTTAATTTGGGGAAACAGTTCTACCATTTACATCAGCTTACATCACACAAAGAAATTATTTAGGCCTCACAGATATGCCTTCAGAGTTTTCAGTCCTTGTCTGATATATTTTCCTGTGTTCTGTTGATTTGACTAAAGCTTGGAACTTAGTCAAATCAACAGAACCAGGTAAGAGTTGCGATAAAACCACAGTCCACCTACAATCCCTTCACCATTTGTTCACTTACTTTGGATTCACACTGTGCTGCTATTTCTTCAAAAGGTGCTTTCTGAAATTTCTCTATCACAAGACGCCTCTTTTCCTTTTCCTGTTCTTCCATTCCACTGGTATCTATATAAATGTTTATACTCATTAAAAGGAATACAGAATTTCACAGACCCAGTCAATGACCAGTAAGAGCTAATGATATATCATCCAAAAATAAGGGCAATTTACAGGGCTGTTTTTACAAGAAAAAAAAAATCCGTGAAATGTCCTGTTTAAGGTACACACACGAAAGAAAAACTAAGGGTTAAAACTCTACAGTGTAAGATTCTCTTTCATAGAATACCTTTGTCTCTCTGACCAAAACACAGCAAGGGTACAGGAGCTTCCTACAAGTCGAATTACTTCAAGGTCCTTCCTGAAGGACTCTTTTATATAACTATGCCCTTGCACAGGTGAGACACTAAATAAAATACCTGCTAAACTTGAATCTTGCTATTGAGTGGAATAACTGAAATACTAACGGGGTCCTTTGGAACTGTGTTGTAGCCTTTTCCGTTTATTTACCACAATCTGAAAAGGGATTGTTTTGGTCTTATGATGACGTACGGTCTAGCCAAAGTTCGTGAGAAAGTAAATTAATAAATGTCTTTTTTAAATATCACTGCTGTAATTGTGTCTACTCAAGAATATGACCGTGATGGGACAAGGGAATTTTGAAGCCTAAGGAATGCAGTTTAAATGATACATTTATATAGAAATCAACAAGTTTTTTTGGTTTTGGTTTTGTAATGCCACCTCTGCTTACTCTGTCATTGGAAAATAGTACCAAATAAAGATAAGTTAAATATTGGCAGTACTGACAAGTACAAAATATCTCACCAATTGCTTTCTTCAATGCTTCAAATGTGATTTCTTCAGTGTTACTGACCTAGAGAAAAGTGATTTTAGGTGAAATCCAGAGTTAAAAAGGGTCAGTATAAATCACACCTTTACCTAGTTACAAGTCATCTAGGAAGTTTTTCAGATTTGTTTTCTTTGTTGAGTTGGTCCGAGTTGTCATCATATGCCACAGGACCAAAAAATCTCCACTTTTTCATTGGTTCTAACAATGGCCTACTGCAGTGGTTCCCCAAAATAAGTCTATAGATTAGCATTAGACTGGAATAATTAGCATACCCTACCCAACAAAACCACCGTTGAATTACAGAACTCAGTCTCCAGTACCGTGATGTACAAGAAGATTTGAGTCCCACTGACTGAACACTGTGCTGTAAGTAAACAATGCCCTGAGATAATGAAGGCTGAGATTACACCACATAAATACATTTTTAGCCATGTGATAAAAAAAGAACTAAGTACTCTACAGCCTCTATAAATTTGGTACCACACACAGTTTACAAGTCAAAACTAAAACTAAGATTTTAAATGATTTAAAAGTTAAGAACCACTACTTTGGGAAGTATTTCTCTAATGTCAACTACCAATATATAATCTTTGAAACTACCCTTTTAACTTGCATCTTCGAAGTCTCTCTCGCTTTGAGATATGTAAAAAGGGATAAAATCAATTGCTTTATGACAAAAAAGTCAATAATACATTTTACGGCATCAGCACATTTTCAGGAGAAATAATATATCCAGTTCCTACAGTATGTCTAAATAAAAATTAAGAAATGATACATAAGTACTTGCCTGGAACTCTTGACATCCCTATTTTTAGCTCATGAGCTTCTGTTGCTAAGTCTAAGAAGGCAGCAAGACTAACGAAAGCAAAAGACTTCATCCTCTGCACCTTAGCTTCTCTTTAAATCAAAGGCTTTAGCTGGCTGGAAATCAAGCAGCAAGAGTTCCACTCCCTCAGTTTTGCTACTGAGGGTTCATATTTCTAGTTGAATTCAGATTAAACTTGGGAATCTTCAGTTGTTTTGTTCTAGATATTTGGAGCAGACATAAGATTAGGCTCTGGCTGGTTGTACTTATAAGCATTCTAGTACTCAGTGAAAAAAAAAGAATTTGCTGTTGTTCTTAGAATTGGCTAGGAGCTCCTGACTTTTGAGAAACAACTACAGTATAGGAAAAAGAACATAGGAGAAGTTGGAAGGCCATCATTCTTATTACGTATAATTTTTACTTATTACCTGTCAATCTCAGATAAGAGCTAAAGTACCTTACCCTACTAACTCTTCTCTTTTTCTCCCTTTGCCTTAATTCAGAAAATTATGATGCAGCTTCCTAGCATCAAGAACCCCCAAGTCATGCCATCAGTGTCAACTTTTTTTTTTTTTTTAACATCTTCTTTCTTTAAATCCCTTTAAGTCATTTCTTGGTCCTATTCATTCTACTTTAGAGTACTCTTGCCTTCCTGTCCATCTTTGTTACCTCTAGCCTGGCTACTCTAGATCCTCATTCCATCAAGTATAGACTATTACAAGGATCTCCTGACTGGCCTCTACCTCTAGTCTCTTTTTTCCAATTTACTCTTGTCACACTTGAGAGATTCCTTTTATGAAAGCACAACTCTAATAATGACACTATCTAAATTTCGGCGTTTACCTACTTCCTACCAAATTACATACATAATTTTGCTTCAATCTTATTTCCCACTCTTCCCTTTTGTGAATCTTTTTTTTTAAAAACTGCTTTATGCTACCATTTAATGATTGACATTTTATACACCATAGCTGGCAAATATAAGCTACGCACATTATTTGGTGATCTACCAAACTATAATCTGTTCCAACTCTAGAGGAAAAACCAGTTATGTTGGAGTTATGGAGAAGTGGTGCAAAGGCACCATTCTAAAAGAATTTCAACATTCCTTTTATAATTTGTGACTTTTGCTTTATCCTACGATCTATTACCTAGACTATATAACGCCTTTGGGCCTACATAAAATCTGCCATTCATCTTTTTCTAATTATAGTAGTTGGTATGTCATTTCCACTAATATCATAGTAATTTGATAGCACCTAGCACCACAGGGTGTGACTAATATTGACTAGATGCTAGCATACACCCAAGTTTCTCCAGTTATATCTGGAGAAAAAGGCAGGAGTACACGTATATAAAACAAAGATCTGTTATTTGCTCTAGAATAAACAACAATCTTTTGCTGTCAACTGGTGGCTTAATTTTGTATTAAAAATTTTACATATATTCAAAATTCAATATATATAACATCCTATCCATGCACTTAAATAACCAAGCACTAACGATAAGCTTACAACTTTTCAGTGTGTTGATTTCAGGTTTTACTCATGTCCATTATGCATATATAAGGAAGCCAAAAATCATTCCTATAGTGCTTTATTCTATTAGTCAAGCTGATAATTTTATCTCAGGAGGCAGAGGTGCCTCTATTCTATTTTAGTCATTTATCTTCTTGAATATGTTAATTTAAATTAGGCATCATTATTAAAAATATGTGTATGTACACCTATTTTTTATGTGTGTGTGTGTGTTTATGTGTAGTATGCATATATATGTATGTACATCTATTTTGTGTGTGTGTGTGTGTGTATGTGTATGTGTAGTATGCATATATATGCATTGGGAAGTATTCCTCTAAAGTCAACCAGCAATTTATAATCTCTAAAAATACCCTTTACCTTGAATCTCTCAAATCTCCCTCTAGCTCTGAGATATGTAAATGATATGAAATCAACTGCTTTATGATAAAAACGTTAATAATGCATTTTATGGCATCAGCACATTTTTAGAAGAAATGATATATTATTTAGAAGAAATAATAATATATATATATATTTTTATATATGGCAATTTTTAGAAAAAGTTCACCAAATGATTCTAAGTAGGCCGAGGTTGGAATTGTAATGTTAGAACTGGCACATCTCAAGTGGACAGGTATTTCAATAGGCTAGAGTAACAATTTGAGGTTATCTAAGGAAACAAAAGTTGGTTATGGTCACCATCTAAACAACCTCTCTCTTTTTTAAAAAAATAATGTTTAAAAAGCAAAAGCAAATACATTTGAGGATAAACTAGAATTATACATATAAAACTATAAATAATTTTGATCAAATAAAAAAGTAATTTTTATGAGCATTCTCTTATCTGATTTATTGTAAGAAAATAGTTTGATATTTGGCTGCACTATTAACTGGCGAATATCCATCTGATGTGAATTTTTCTTGTCCATCACATGAAAGTAATTAATTAGTTTTAGTCTAGAAGGTGGTATTATTCTGTCTTCTGGTATTTGAACAAACATCTCTAATATACATACAAAAGCAGATTCCACAATGGTAAATGAGTCTGAAACCCAAATGTGCTCAACTAAACGTGATACTAAACTGTTCAACTTTTCAGATGCTTGGTGTCAGGCATATTTGACTTAGGACTTACAGTAAATGAAAAACAACAGGATCTTTTAAAAGTTAATACAAATATTTACAGACTTTTAATGTAAAACTTATGTTAAGAATCTTTCCCCTGCATTGAGTCTTTATGCAAATGTTTTTTCAGTTGATTTTATCAAAATAGACTGACTCTTTCCAACAGTTTCAAGTGCTCTCTGTATAGTTTTGAAAGAAATAAGAATAGTTAACAAAAGGAGAAAGGTGAAAATACCAGTCAATAAAACATATTGTACTTTTAACAAAATTAAGTTTATAAACTAAGGCTTTGGATGAACTTCTTCCCCAGAAAGGTAATAACAGCAAATTCATAATCATTACAAGACAGAACTAGCAAGATACTCTTCTTACTAGCAAGGAGTGTATAAATTAAATAAATCTGAAGAGGTAAATTTAGGAAAGGTTGTTATCAAGCCTTAAATTGGTAAGGAACTTTAAACCAGCCTTAATACGTTGAGTTTCTAAATGAACACTAAGTTGATGCTGGGCTGATAATTTCTTAATAAAACCAATAAATTCTACATAATGGGAAGCTGAATTGCATAGAAAACACATCGGTTGGCTGTACTCTGGCCACCAAATAGTTTTAATACCTGAAGACAAATAAATTAACAGGAATTGGAAGCAGGTAGGAAAGAAGCTGAGAAAGCATAAATTCAGGCAACTTCCTTTCCCTATCTGGATATTCTTTTAATTATGCATATTACATCAGTGAGAAATAATAAAATACCTAGGAAGGCAAACAATGGATAAACCACAAGGTGGAGGATGACTTGACATGCTGGCATTTTGGCATTTTTACTTGACTGTGAAAAAATTCTCTGGTGATTTGTGTAGAATAAGTCCTACAGAATAATGGCTGCTTTTTCCCCTATAACTCAGAAAGGTACACTCTTGTGCTCTTTTCAAACAGGAGGACAGCATTAAATCTATGATGTTTTAAATAAGTCACAGTCCATACAGGGAACATAGTTCACTGACACAGTTTAAGCTACATCCAATTCATTATATTTACAATCCAAAATGATTAAAACATTTTCCCTCAAAGATAAAGTTTTAAATTTTTTTTTTTTTTTTTTTTGAGATGGAGTTTCACTCTTGTTCCCCAGGCTGGAGTGCAATGGCGCAACCTCGGCTCACTGCAACCTCCGCCTCCTGGGTTCAGGCAATTCTCCTGCCTCAGCCTCCGGAGTATCTGGGATTACAGGCACACGCCACCATGTCCAGCTAATTTTTTGTATTTTTAGTAGAGACGGGGTTTCACCATGTTGACCAGGATGGTCTCAATCTCTTGACCTCATCATCCACCCACCTCGGCCTCCCAAAGTGCTGGGATTACAGGCGTGAGCCACCATGCCTGACCTAAAATCTTTTAAAGGTAGTGAGCATTTGGTTTCATGTGAGGATGTATAGTTCTGTTTCTGTAATTTATATTTCCTAAACTTTTAAAAATAAGCAGGCTCTAGAGGGCCCACTAATTTAATGACAGGCCTTCTATAAAGTTTCCTACAAAAAACAAAACAAAAAACTTACACTTTACAGTTATTTAAATTACACTAAATTATAATGTGAAATCTGATAATAGAACATATAATGTTAGGTTTATATATCTTTACAGACAGCTGAAATGAGTTCAGTAAAATAACATAAATAAATTCAAAGCTAAATCAGATTAATTTCTACTAATAATTTAGGTGAGGATAATTTAGAGTTGTATTTTCTCCTGTTTGAAAGTGTGGAAGGCAAAACATTCTTTTAAATGATGTTCACCAAGACAGTACTCTACCATAAACTTAAAGTAACTTACCACATCATCAGAAGGAACATTGTTGGATAAAATATCCACCTGAATGGATACGGTGTCCACAATGCTTTTTCTTCTAGAAAGCCGATCTTCATCTAAAATAAAATTGTTTTCCTCCCATTATTTGTTAGAAATGTTATGTTGGTTGTCATTTATAAACTCTACTTACTTCAGATTTCAAACACTGACAAAAATTTAAGACAGTTTGTCTTTTTTTGTTCCTTTTAAATACATAAAGTTGTGAGTTCTCAGACTTTTACATTTTGTGAAGCAGATTAAAAAGTAAAACAAATGGGGTGAACTGAAATAAGGTTAATTGTTTTTTATTTTTCAAAAAGGGGCATTTAGGACAGCAACATCAACAACCATTACTGAACAGTTTAATTTAAAACAGCAAGTCAATGTAACACCAAATGAAGGAAGTACATAATCTAAACTGAATATATTTAGCCTAACTGAAAATACAATATTGCCCTTATATCTCTACTATTTTCATGAAACAGTGAAAGCTGTTAACTAACTCTGGTTCTAGGATGATAGTTCGGGAAGCAATGTCTAAAGGTGTTTACAGTGCATTACAATTTGTGGAGTGAAAGAATTTGCTGTTTCAATTAATATCTCCTTCTCCAGCATTATCCATTCACTCATCTCCATCAGCTGTTGTTCTTTACTTTATAATTTGACCACTTCTCCAGAAAGACGTTCTCTTTACCTCAGTGCTCTAGCTAAGCTACTTTTCTGCCCCAACTCATTTGTATAGTCTGAACAAATTGCTTTGATTTTTCACTACTGACTATTCTGAAGTCCTGCAATTTTAATCCCAACCCCAACCACTCTTCTGACAGTGCTTTTTAATAAAATTCCATGGTCTCTCAAATCACTAAGTTTAATACCTATTCCTGGCCCATTTCTGCTTAACCACTTCATGAAAATTTGAATTTGTTGATCAAAATGTCCTTCCATACATTCTTTTCTATTTCTGCTTTTCTACTTTAGCATTCAATACTCAACGAATCTAGGAAGTGGTTAGGGACCATGTTAGGTGTTAGGGACAGTTTGCTGAATAGATATTACACATCCCATGAAGCTTATAGTTCAACAGGAAAAATACAAAATAAAATTATACAAATTATAAAAGTGTGATGGAGAGTACAGGATGCTGGGAAAATATCAAATAATCATGATTACAACTGAAAAAAGGAAGTCACTTTGTATACTCCAATTTATAAAATTAGAGGCTTATTCAACCCTTGGAAAGTTCAGTGACTAAGGTTAGCAATCAGATATTCTCAGTTTGCAGCATGGAGATGGTAATTATCAAGAAGCTTCTAGAAGCTTCTAGTCTGATGTCCACCCATTTGAATGCTACACTGTCAATGATAATAGTTTCTCCTCTTCTACTTGCAAAATTTTCTGAGTGCTTTTTATTGTCAGTCTTCGATTCTGAAAAAACATAGCTCCCAATTTTTCCTCTACGATGCAGAAGAGAATTTAGGAAGGGTGACAATGATGCCAAGTTGGCTACTGTTTAACTCCCAGTCCTAAAAGAAATGTATTCACCTAGGTCACATCCCAAGACCTCTAACTCTCTCAGAGAGTTCCCAGATAATATTAGGGTTACAGCTGGTAACTAGTGGGTCCTCTATAAATACTTGGGTGACTGAGCAGGATTCTGGCACCTCATTTTCTGAGTTCAACATTTCTAATTTCTTATTAATCAGCTCTATTCGGCATATTCTAAATCCAATTCCACATCTCTAAATAAACCACCTTTATCTCCACATTGTCCTATTTATTTTCAAGAGTGCTGTCATTCAAAATCTTCATCTTTTCTTACCTAAACCCTTAGGATAGCTTTCACGTGAGTCTTCCTAGTATGTTTCTACCTTCTATACTACGAGTAGAGTTGTTTCTAAAATAGATAATGTTCAGTTCTAATTATAATTGTTAAACAAATGCAGCTCACTGCTTAATGTGGAGTTCCCAAGGTTTTCTACCTTATTGACATATTAAATTATAATACATGCATGGTACACAGAGATAAATGGAAGCACCTGCTCATATTGCAGGTTCAGAGTGCCCCAGGGCCTGGCCAGCTACCTGAAAAGCTAAGGAGAACAATACCCAGATGAACCTATAATGTTCCCCCAAAACAGTAGGGAAGCTCAGGTCTAGAATTGGCCTAACAGCACAGAATTACTGCATCATCTGGCAACATTTCATCTTTTTCTCTCTCTCTTTTTTTTTTTTTTCTTCCTGAGACAGTATCTCTTCTCTGTCATCCTGACTGGAGTATAGTGGTATGATCACAGCTCACTGCAGCCTCAAGCTCCTGGGCTCAGGTGATTCTCCCACTTTAGCTTCCTGAGTACCAGGACTACAGGCAGGTATCCACCATGCCCGGTTAATTTTTTTTTTAACTTTTAAGTTCAGGGGTACATGTGCAGGTTATATAGGTAAATTTGTGTCATGGGGGTGTGTTGTACAGATTATTTCATGACCCACATATTAAGTCTAGTATTCTTTAGTTGTTTTTCGGGATGCTCTCCTCTCTCCACCCGCCACCCTCCAACAGACCTCAGGTGTGTCTTGTTCCCTTCTATGTGTCTGTGCTCTCATCATTTAGCTCCCACCTGCAACTGAGAAACTGTGGTATTTGGTTTTCTGTTCCCGTGCTAGTGCACATATATGCTCATCATTGCAGCACTACTCACAACAGCAAAGACAGGGAATCTACCGGCTAGTTTTTTTGTTTTAATTTTTTGTAGAGACAGAGTATCTTCTTTTTTTTTCTTTTTCCCAAGCTGGTCTCGAACTCTTGGCTTCAAGCAATCCTCCTGCCTCAGTCTCCCAAAGTGCTAGGATTACAGGTGTGAGCCACCGTGCCCAGCCTGTGCTCCATCTTTCTAATCCCATTCTGTATATACTGTGATTTTACTTTACTGAAGGGACAAAAATTGAAGAATTAAAAGCAATCAGTGAGAAACTGGTTTCTCTCTTACTGACTACTCCTCTACTCCAAGGTAGCCTTCCATGGTTGTAACTAACGCTGTTAGCCAATATTACAGTTTGTCCCTTTCTGGACATGTGAGAGGATTGCAATTACTGTCCTCTCTGTGGTTAGGAGGGGTTCTGTCACAAGTCCTGGCCAATAAAGTACGAGTAATGTGCCAGACAGTGGTAGCTCCATCAACCTGGATTACAGAATGTGGATGATGTATAGTTATGTACAGCAAGTCCAAGCAATAAATAAATCTTTACTGTTTCAAACCATTAAGAACTTGGGGTTGTTTGTTACTATAGCATAACCCAGTAGGGTTTCTTAACCTTGACACTATGGACATTTTTGGCCAAATAACTATTGCTGTGGGAAGCTATCCCTTGTATTATAAGATGTTCAGCAGCATCCCTAGCTTCTATGCACTAGATGCCAATAGGCCTATCTCATCTCTCTCCACCCCAGTTGTGACAACTAAAAACATCTCCAAGATTGCAAAATTCACCTTTAGTTGAGAACCAGCAACTCACTCCAACCTAATGACAATTTTACCTGTATGGCACCACCATGTTAACTAAGCTTTTTAAAAAAACACTAACTGCGTAACTCCCCAAGCTATGCTCCCCAACGGCTTGTGAATTAAAAGGACATTCTAGGCTCTCTAATTAGATCTTACCAACAGTAACTTCAACCTTCCCTAATTAATCTAGTGTTCAACTCAAAGATGCCCGTTTTCTAATCTCTGAGCATGCTGTGGGATATCTGCTTTCTAGAAACACATCATTACCTGTCCTTCTTTAACATCCTCCTCTCTATAAAGATTCTTATCTTTTAAAGCCTATTTGAACATCACATTGCTTCCTTAAAGTGTTAAATATAACTCCAATTATTTCTGCTTGTCCCTCTTTCTTCTGAGCTAAAAAATTACTACCAGTTATTAATGAACTTTCCTTCTATCACCCTCAGCCTTGTACTACTACAGTTATGTACACTGATGTCTGACCTATATATCCATGCACAAAATTTAGTGAGACTCTGGGTTTTTTATGTACCAAACAGAAGTCACTCAGGTTCTACTGCATGAAGGGTGAAGGTACAGAATCAATACATACTAAACTGCAACAAAACAGGACGACACATTGTTTTGCAAGAATTTTCAGGATGAGAATACTTTATATCCTGCATGTGGCTACTGCTGAGTTAACCTAGACCCTGTATTTTTTGTTTTTCCTTCAGAATCACATGCTCTGATATAAATAACTGAACATAAAGACATCAATGGAATTGCTACAAGGCAGTATGTGGTTATCCCTGCTGATCTGCTTTTAGCATCTAGGCAGATTAACTTTCAACATCTCACTGGAAGTAAGAATAAGGAATGAATTATAGCCTGCCTCTCTCAAAGGAGGCTACAAAAGAATTTCTGGGTTAATTTATAAAAGCTGAGGGGTTGCAGAAAGTCATGTTGAAGCCAATAATAAAAAAGAAAAGGGAGGTATGAGGCAGGAAAGGGGTCAATGAGTGGCAAAATCATTGAAAACAAAAAGGAAATACAGTGTTGTCTCAAAGGCCATCAATAATCGCCTTCCAGGAAAATTCAGAAACAGGCCTTAATCAATTCTCAACTTCTCCGAAGCTTCAGCAATTTGTGCCGAGTGACCTTTCCTTTTTTGGAAGCTCCTTTACCTGCCTTCTCACTCCCGAGCCTACTACCACTCACATTCCAACATTACCTTACTCTCCTTTCACATTCTTGAGACTTTCAGCTTTGGGGCTTTACGTTCCTTCCCAACATGGCCTCTCCTCAGGAAAAGAGAACTCTCTAAATAAAGCCATTCCATCCTCTTTCTCTCCATGCCTTCACTATGAGAATTCAAACTCCCTGAAGTCCTTAGCAAAATCCCCTATGTTGCTGCTTTCAAAATTTTCATTATAACCTCCTAACCCTCACACATAACCCAGTCCTAACTCCTAACTGCCTACAGGATACTTTACTTGCATGATCCACTTTCAAAGATACTCAACAAGAGGCTTATCTCCAAAACCAGCTACTTTTTCCTATTCATTTCTGTTAATAAAAACTCTATCCTTCTACCACCCCAGATTCAAAACTACTTATAGTTTCGGCTGAAATAGGTACTTCTTTCCTTCTTCCCTTGAACTCAGCTGATATGGTTGGCTGTGCCCCCACCCAAATCTCAACTTGAATTGCATCTCTCAGAATTCCCATGTGTTGTGAGAGGGACCCAGTGAGAGGTAACTGAATCATGAGGGCCAGTCTTTCCCACATTATTCTCGTGATAGTGAATACATAGTCTCACAAGATCTGATGGATTTATCAGGGGTTTCCACTTTTGCTTCTTCCTCATTCTCTCTTGCTGCCACCATGTAGGAAGTGTCTTTCCCCCTCTGCCATGATTGTGAGACCTTCCCCAGCCACGTGTAACTGTAAGTCTAATTAAACCTCTTTCTTTTGTAAATTGCCAAGTCTCCGGTATAACTCTATAAGCAGCATGGAAAAAAGACTAATACACCAGCTATATTACTCATCTCCCTTCTAGAAAAACAAAACACAAACAAAAAAACCAAGCAAATGAAGTGGTAAGTAAATCCTGTGTCCCCTCGGTTTTGCACCATCCATTCAACTGCCCAACCCAGAAACCTGGACAAAATCCCTGGCTTTCTCCTTGTCTCTCGATATCAACCACAAGCCTATAAATTCTCTCTCATAAATTTTTCTAGAATCTACCTACTCTGTATTCTCACTGATGCCTCTTTATTATGAGCCACTCTCATTTCTCCTAAGAATGACTAACAAGCCAACAAAATAGTCATCCCATCTCTAGTTTGCAAAACTACAAGCAAAGTAATATTTCTAAAATGTAACTCTGATCATGTTATCCTCTGATTAAAATCACTCATGCTTCCCCATTGCCTTTATAACAGAGTTCAAACTAGTTTACCTTGCTTTACAATTCCTAACTCCACTCCCTGAAGTCTATCTTCACTCTGTATTAATTACCAGAACAAATCCTGTTCTTGCCTGCCTCGTTCCTTCACATGTGTTGTTTCTACCATATGAAGCACTTGCCTAACACTTGTTTCAAGCTCAGCTTAGAGACTTTTTCCTCTGGAAGATATCTCTGGCCTGCCAAACCTGGATTAAATAATTTTATGTGCTAGCAGAGGTTCCTAAACATCCCTAACCATAGCCGTACAGTCATATTACAATTGCCTTGTTATTTATCTTCTTAAGAGAAAAATTATATAATGGAATTAACTTACTTCCTATGCACCTAGAATAATACCAAATCATCTGCTGTGTTTTGTGGTTCAAGTGAACTATATATTTGAGAGAGACTAGGTTTGTGAAAGTAGAGACCTACCCATCTTGTTCATTCCGGCTTTTGCTTGCACAGCAGCTGCTACACTGAGGTGCTCGCTTAATACTTAAATAACTGCTGTATGTGTTGACTGAAGCCACTGGTACCTCTGAATGGTTCAGATGGGGGGATACTACTGTTTCCCTCTCATAAAGCAGTACTTGGCACAGGCCTAAACATACACTATTCATTTGAATTCTAGGTTGATTAGAGATAAGTAAAATATAACAATCGACTAACATTTATCAATCACATTATTATGATGCCAGGCATCAATAGTTCAATAAACTTTAGGTATATCATCGTTCTTTCTCTACATCTAGTTATCATTGTGTTTCAATCATTCATCTGCTTTCCCACTAGATGGTATTCTTTGAGGATAGAAATTGCATCTTAACATCTTTCTGCCCTATGAAAGTTCTAACAGTGTCTGATATATATTAAGTAGTAGGCAATCAGTAGAAGTTTGAGAAATAAATGATAAAAATCAATCTGGATTTTTCTGGAGCTTGAACAGTCTTTGAGCTCCTGAAAAATAGCAAAATCAAATAATTTATTAAGCAACTAACTGGAGAAGCAGTTAATGGTGTAATCTAACCATTTAATTCAATTTTAGCCTCACTATCCTCATTTGTTAACAAAGATAATGCTACCTTCCTCACCGAATCATAAGAATTACATAAAGAAATGAATACAAAGCACTTAACACAGTGCCTGGCACACAGTACGTAATAAATGGTAGCTACTATTGTGATGATGACGGGTATTACATGATACACAACAAACTAAATATGTTCTGCTTCTCTTTTAATATATCGTTCTTAAATTCCTCACATTTTTTAAATGATTATCTGATGGATAGACAGGAAAAGGAAATTTAATTACAGATTCAGTATCCCATAAAATATCACTGTTTATTCTGTTTCTGCATTAAGGTAGGATACACATGCCACAGACAGGCACTAAAGTATGAGACTTTACAAATCAGAAAAATCTAGTAAGTTTTCTATGCAGTTATACAATTAAGTAGTCACTAAAATATTCAGAGTTATTTCAGTCAATGGTAAAGATGCATTATGAGAGAATACATCTTTTTAAGGGGTGGGAGGAATCAGGGAAGTGCAGACCATTTGTTAAAAATTTAAAAAGTGCCAAAGCTTTCATCAAAAACTGTTAAGAGTTACAGGAACAGGATAAAAAGAAACAACAGGGGTAAAAATAAACTATGGCTACAAGGAAGAGAAAGGAAAATCATAACTAATAATTATAGAAAATATGCAGGCCACTGGCTCCATTTTCTAAAAGGCACATTTTATTAAGCTATTTTCTTAGAAGACAGGTGAGGGAAAGGGCAGGTCAAACTGACAACTGGATTTACCTTTGTACTTGTGCTTGGGTTTATGAGGTTTTTTGCTTGAAGGAAAGAGAGCTAAATCCAAATTATAAGAGTAAAATATTTTAAACGTTTAAAAAAAATCTTTTAAATTATAAATATCTAATAATGTTTTATTCTTAGCTCTTGTATTTCCTCAAATAATTCCTGAGGAGCACAATCTTTTATAGTATAAAATTTAAAAGAAAATGGAAAAGCACTCATTAACATCTCAGACTGTTATGAACAACTATTACTGTCCTAAATTCATATATTTTGGATCCATGTTATTAAAAAAAAAAAAAAAGCCATTTACAAAGACTGCTACTTGTAGTGACTAATCCAGAAATCTTTCTAAGTGAAATCAAATGGTTCTCTTGTAGAACAGAGATTTCCCCAAAGAAAGAACTAATTCACTTACCAAATTTAATATTTATATAGTCATCACATGAAAATGAGAGAAGATACAAATTCTTTGATTTTAGTTTTTAAAGTAAAAATTGAATACAAGACACTATGCTATTTTGCCTTCAAACAGAATTATTTCAGGCAATGAAAAAATAGAAGGAAATATATAGTTCACAGAGAAAAAGAAATCCCTAACTCAAAAAGTTTGCAGTTTTCTTTGCATAACAAAATTGCATAGCAATTTCTGTACTCAAATAGCAAAAGTTGCCTGCTTCATTAAGCTCAATAATCACTTATCATTAAACAATTTTCACCAATTCCCATGACTTAAATAGAGTATCATTTAATAAGAAAAGATCTCACTTTATAATACTAAATAAAATAATATATTAAGTATTATAACAATAAATATTCAAAAACTTGATTTGCTTATGGTAAAATCCTATCTATATCCTTAGATATTTTCTAAAGTTTTCAATAGCAAAATTTAAAAACAGAAGTAAATACTCTTAAGCATTTGAAAATCGCTGGGCTATAGTAAGTACACACATCAGAATTAATGTTTACTGCTAATTGGGTAACAAAAAAAATTACTATAACATAAGCAATCGCCGGAGAGTTCTAATTATCCTCCTCTTACCTGTTACTTGTGGTACATATGGTACTGACAATCTCTCAACACTATATCCACTTCCACCTAGTGACTCTGCAATCTTGTTGGTCAGAAAGTACAAATCTTTCTCATGCTTCTCTAAAGATTTTGGAAGCCTGCCAAATTCATCAAAACAACAATCATTCAGCATTTTATTGAGCAAAAATAAGTTACTATGCGAAACACTGCAGAGCAAAGCCTCAATATTCTGAATATAAACACAACATAAACTGTAGTTAGTAAGAGAAAAATCAGTATATTTTAGGCAACGAATGAACTTGACTCTAAAAACACATAGTATGTGGTCCCATAGGTTAACCATTCTGCAGTGCTGCTTCTCCCAGTAACATTTCAATAGCGAATTCAGCCTTATATTACTCTGTTGATCTCCACTCCTTAAGTCACAAAGAACACTAAATGTAGCTTTTATTGTCATGTTAATTAAAAACTGTACTGAAAAATGTAGGCCACTGATTGTTAATGAAAACCACATCAGCCAGCTAAGTGTTAGGAAGTACTTGGCCACTCACACTAAGTTTCACTTTCCTTTCAAACTGCTTGATATTATCTTACCATGATGCTTTCAATACAAACTGCTTTTACAGCGCTAAAGTTCAAATAAAGTATTATTCATATATATACTTTTCTTTAGAGAATAAGGAATAATGCAGCAAATATCATTGATTTTTCCCTAATACATTCTTTCTTCTACCATATTATGAGTATTGTTACCTATTACTGAAAGTCTACAATAGGATACTGTACTCTCTTAAAGGTTTGATCATTTACATATGAGAACATAAAATATGCTATATTTAAGAGACCTATCCCACATTTTTTTAAAAAGTGGGGTAAGTTTTCTTATTCCTTTTTTTTTTTTTGAGATGTCTTGTTCTGTCACACAGGCTAGAGTGTAGTGGCGTGATCTTGGCTCACTGCAACCTCCACCTCTCGTGGTCAAGTGATTCTCCAGTCTCAGCCTCCCGAATAGCTGGAATTATAGGTGTGTGTCACCATGTCCAGCTAATTTTGTATTTTTTTTAGTAGAGATGAGGTGTCGCCATGTTGGCCAGGCTGGTCTCAAACTCCTGATCTCAGGTGATCCACCTGCCTCAGCCTCCCAAAGTGCTAGGATGACAGGCGTGAGCCACTGTGCCCTGCCAAGTCTTCTTATTCTTAAAAAATTTTTTCAAGATTGACTCTATGTTGTGCATGAGTCTACATCCACAGTGTGCAAGGCTTTTTATAACAAAGGAAATAATTAAATGAATTAAATGACAGACACAAAGTGACGATTATCATAAAGCACCAGGAATTATTACAATAGTTTACTCCTTTATAATTATTATTGATTGGTTTATGACATAAGTACTGCATCCTTAAAATGTAAAGAATTAACATACATGCACTTATCTCTGAAGATATGCTCTGGTAGAAAATAAGGAGCTTCCATAGTTCGAATTTCAATAACCTGAAAAAATATTCAAAAATAAAAATCAAAAGCTCCACCCCTCAGGACCCTGATATAAAAACTTTGTAAAACAGCTTAAAAACAATAAACTTTGAACATTTATAAGAAATAGCATCACGCTGCTTTTGAATTTAAGCTAAGTTTACAGCCTAAATATAAAGTTTATTTTGTTTTCACATCTATTAATTTTAAAATCAGCAGATAAAACTGTGACAATAAAATAATATATAAAGCAAAAAATGATGACACATTACATTTGATTAAGCCTAGTATGATAAAGCAAGAATATCTATTTTCTCAAATGCACTATTTTGGAAATCGCTTTACAAATCACCATCCTCCACCTGCTGCATTACCTTTGCAACCTGTGTAGAAGGTGTCAAGGCACTTGTGTGGTCTGGCTCCTCCAATGAACTGTGAGCAAAGAGGTGGTCTGCTTTTGCAGTATTTATTTCTTTAGTGATGGGCATCAAATATTCACTCAAATGTTTGATTAATGAATGGGTGAGTTTGTTTCTTAGACTACACTAAAAGCCTACATTTTAGTAAGGACTAAATAATGTGCTATCAATTTAAGAAAAATAAGACCCCTTCCTGACACCTTACACTAAAATTAACTCCAGATGGATTAAAGACTTAAACATAAGACCTCACACCATAAAAACCCTAGAAGAAAATCTAGGTAAAACCATTCAGGACGTAGGTGTAGGCAAGGACTTCATGACCAAAACACCAAAAGCATTGACAACAAAAGCCAAAATAGACAAATGGGACCTAATCAAACTCCACAGCTTCTGCACAGCAAAAGAAACAATCATTAGAGTGAATCGGCAACCAACAGATTGGGAAAAAATTTTTGCAGTTTACCCATCTGACAAAGGGCTGATATCCAAAATTTACAAAGAACTAAAACAGATTTACAAGAAAAAAACTAACAAGCCCATTCAAAAGTGGGCAAAGGATATGAACAGACACTTTGCAAAAGAAGACATACGTGAGGCCAACAAACATATGAAAAAATGCTCATCATCACTGGTCATCAGAGAAATGCAAATCAAAACTA